TGACCTTCTGTGCTCCTTTCCACATCCGCTGCGCCTGGATAGGCAGCACAGAATAGAGACCCAATAAATTCACGCCCAACGCCCAATGATGAATGAAGAATGAATCAGTGAGGGAGGGAACGCCAGAGCTTTCAGCCACAAAGAGCTTACCATTTAGTGCGCACGGGGCCCATCGAGAAGATAAGCACAGAGGAGGGAAAACGGGAAAGAGGGGCCATCATTTTATCAGACAGTCACCAAAATAAACAATGATGGGGACCCCAGCCACTGCCAGGGCCGCAGTACCCACCACACACCAGGCCCTGCACCTAGCACCTGACGTCAGGACGCGAGGTGCCAGCCACACAGCCCACACCACCTCCATCCGTCCCCTGCACTCTGAGGTCCACCCTGACCCCACTGGGCAGCGTCAGGCAGAGCAGATGCCACAGGAGGGCAGAGGTCCGTGTCTGCAGTCCTTTCTGATCTACCTCCAGCAGCAACCACAGTATCCAGCACAGAAGGCTCAGCAAGTCAGTGAGTCAACCACACAGCCAGAGTGAGGCTCACCTGCCAAGGAGACAGAGTCCCGAGAAGGAAACACTGCCGGCTGCTACCATGGCTCAGGCAAGAGCTCACTTCCTGTGCTAAGTGCTGGGCACCCTCCCCGGCAGGGAAAAACCTCTGTCCCCCTGTCCAGCACGGTGAGCTTCAGTACTGTGCACAAGCAGCACAGCGCCCCCAGCTCCTGGCCTTCCAGACCCCACCTTGGCAGAGGCCTGCTTTCTTCTCGAGTTCTAATGTACAGCTGCCGGGGCTTTCTTTCTCCCCGAGGCTTGCACAGAACTGCAGAGAGCTGGCTGCCGTCTCATGGTCTACATTAACCATCATATCACTGTGCACGGCACAATGCACTCGGAAACCATGGCTTGCTGCAGCCACAGGAAGCAATAAAGCTCAGTCACTGTGACAGGAATAACACTCACTGGCTTTACTGGGTGCTTCCTAGGATCCCAGCAGGCCCTCTGTTCTCTGAGGTCACCTGTGAGCTGGTGCTTTATCACACCTATTCTGCAGCCAAGAAGACCGGGATGCAGAGGCCCTCCCGATGGCCCTGATACCTCTGCTGCTCTCTGGCTTCCCTTTTCCCCTGCAGATAAGCTCCCCCCCCCACACTTCCCACCAGGCCAAGCTGTTAAACACATAAACAAAGCAATGCCAGCTCCTTGATTCCTGAAGACCAAGCAGTTTCTGGAAGATACTTGATTCAACAGATACCAAGCTTCTCTGGGTACCAGGTACCCACGCCTTGAGTTCACAGCAAGGGGATAAAAGCACATAAACAGACAACACCCCCGAGGCTCCCTCCCACCCACCCCCAAAGAGGAAGACAATTCAAAATTCTGAAACTCAACAATTGAAATGAAATCATAGGCTGGAGACTAGCTCCGGAGTACAGAGCAGATGCCTGGACATGCACAATGTCCTGGGTTAGAGCCCCAGCGCAGAAAAGAAAAAGAAAAACCCATGAGACCATTTTGATGTCATCTATTTAAAGTCTTGAGTTTTCTGTTTTTGAGATGCAGTGTCACCATGCTGCCAAAGCCTGGTCTTGAACTCCTGGGCTCAAGCAATGCTCCTGCCTCACTCCACCACCGAAACCTCTGGAGAAGCCAGGATTACATGAATGCCCCATCACATCCAGCGACCATTCCCATTCATAAAGACAGAGCCCAGGGAGGCGGCCATCGTCCTCACACTGCTGGCGTCCCTGCAGGATCTAGGCCCCCCAGGACAGACGCAGGTGCTGTACTCATGGCAGGTGGGGAGCAGGACAGTGATGAGGGCAGGAGTTCCACCGCCCATCGGTTGTGCAAGCTGAAAGTAATTACAACCTGGAGACAGTCTTAGACTGGGTTTGGCCACTCAGCCCTAACAAGATGCCACGGCCTTTTGAAAATGATCAGACATCTTGTGCCAAGATGGAGCCTTCTGAACGCCACCTATGTGAAGCACTCCCCTGAGCCCTAAGGACCCCTGACCCATCGAGGCCAAATGTTCCCATGCTGAGACTTCACCCAACCTCCCCCATTCCTCTGCTCTCTGCCTGCTGCACTGGGGCAGAAAAGCTGGCAGCAAGAGTAGATGGTATTGTCACACATGCTGTGTGGGCAGAGGGGGTGCACCAGGCCTCCAGCTCAGCCACGGAGCATTCTCTGCTTGTTCTTAATACCACCCTCTGACTTCCAAGAATGGGCCCAGGAGTCAGAGGGGCCTGGTCCAAGTCCCATCTGCCCTGTCGCTGCTGAGCTATGTGACCAGGGTGATATTTTTAACTTCTGAGCCATGCAGAATAAAGATGATAGTAATCCGATTTTACAGGAGATTCCCTGGGAAATTAAATGAGATAGGATGTCTACCCCATCTAGAGCCGAGCCTGGGCCACCACAAGATCTCCAATATCACCCATTTTGTCCTAAGTGCCACGGTGCATGGGCAACACACACACAATGAGTGAGCTTGGCACAGTAAATGATTTAAAGTTATCGCCCGCACTACTCCTGTTCTGCTATTATTCGTTCTTACTGTTGCTCTTAAGGGGCTCCTCACAATCACTCAGTGACAGAAGAGACCAATGAGGCTCCTAGCAAATGGTGCATTTTGTCTCTGAGACCTGGAATTTCTGAGATTTTCTGGGGAACGTGTAAGTGCACGGAGTGTGGTGTCACACAACCGTAAGGTCAGCTCTCTGTGTAAGGCTGAAGCAGAAAGATCAAAAGTTTGAGTCAAGCCTGGGCAGCTGAGTGACTTTATAACTCAAAATTTTAAAAATTTTTTAAAGGTTTCAACGGAGCAAAGGCCTTAGTACTACTCCAAAGTTGCCATGACTGTCAATAAGACCCACCACTGGTTACTCTTCTGCAGGTCTCAGCTCTGCCCCGCTCCAGGGAGTCAAGGTCCCCCTGGAGACACAGCCTGGTCTCTCAGTGAGGTCAGAACTGGCAGCAGGAGAAATGGGGAGTGGGTTCCAAGAAGATCCCATCTACAACCAACTAGAAAAATTAAATACAAAGCCAGGCCATCAGAAAAGCCAGAAAACAAAAACTCGGCAAAGCACAGCCATTAGCAGCCCTCTCCACTGACACAGATCGGCTGTAAGCAAAGCCCTTGGCACCCTCAGTCAAACGTCCACACACCCATAGTCTGAGCACAAACAGAAGAGGAAGAGCGTCTGTGGCCAAGAGGCCCTCCACCCAGCTGCGGAGAGACAGTGTCCATCCGGGTCAAGCACAGGGACCCAGACAAGGCACACGGACTCTGGACCTCAGCTCCCACACAGGGAAAAAAATTGCCCCAAACCAAGGATTGGTTCAATTGGAACCAATGGATGGTGGAATTCACCAGATTTTTAGAACAACAGTCATGCAAACCAAAAGGCGTAGATACTGCACAAACCAGAGAAGAACTCCCACTCTCTCCTTCCAGCGGTAGGACGCTTAGGCCATGGAACAGCCAGGGTGAATGAGGGGAAGGGGCAGGCAGTGTAAGACAAAGATAAAGCAAAATTGATCAGAAAAAGAAACCGGTGTCTACTTTTCAAGAGAAGTGAGTATATGCAAACTCTGACACACCAAGCAGGTAACACAACAAGAGGCAGCCACCCCTAACCAAGCAAAACAGCAACACCACCCAAGGTTGCAGCAAGTTGCTTCCAGGCACCCAGAAGGCCAGCATTACAGCCCCCAAGGGAGTCACCCAGCCTGCCCGTTCCCCGACCCAGGAGCAGAACTCACCCAGCCCAGTGCCAAGGCCTCGGAACACAAGGTGCATCCTCACCTCCAAGACGGAACTCATTTCAAATGGTAGAGAGTAGGCTTTGTAATGGGTTCTGTCTGTCCTTTGGCTCTCCTGAAGGGCTCGCTCCTATAGTCAAGCTTCCAGTAAGTTCCACTCTGGGTTCCAAGGATCGATACAACCCCCTGTCTGTGGGGAGAGCTTCAGAAAGACGGGCTATGACCACAGGAACAAGCCTCAACTTGTCTCTGCCCATATGCAAAACAGGCCTGCAACATCCTCTAACCCACAGTTCAGCACGGATACAGTCTCTAGGACCTTGGCCCCCTGCCACACACCACAGGCACACAGCTTCTCCACGTCTCCTGCAGCCTGGATCCAGCACCACCAATCCGAGTGGGCGAGCAGGCGCTGCCAGCCTCACTCTGGAAAACACGAGCCCAGAAAAGAAACAAAAATCTCACTATCCTGTCCCCAACACGCTCTCAAGTGTTTTTCTTCTCTAATCTTGTATACTGGCCTGCAATCAGGAGCCAGAGAGAAGGAAAGAATATCCCACGCGTGTAGACTATCCGGAAAATTCACCATGTGTCCAGACACCGTGCACATGCAGCCTCGCAGCCGTGCTTCCTGGAAGTCTCCTAGCAGACCACACAGCCTGGCACCAACACAAGCGCCACAGGCCAAGGGAAGGCAAACCTAATTACACCAACAACCCCTCCAAAAAGAATTCCCATCCCAAGGATGTGGACGCACCCAGCAAACTCAGGGATGCAATGCAAGGGCAGAGAAAGTTTCAAAACATAGGGACTGAGTTTTGGGAAATCACCTGGGGGGGGGGGGGGCGCTGGTCAAAGGATGGAGCAAGCATCACACATGCACAGACCTCTAGTTTCGCAAAAGAGGCCTCCAAACCGCATGGGCGGCCCCAAATCCGTGGCTGTTGGGGAGGGGTCTATTTTGGGAGATCAGTAATAAGGGTGTGATCAAGTGTACCCATGAGAACGACCTCCGGGCCCCGGCCGCTCCGTGGCACCGCTCCCCTCCCCCTCCCGAACGCCGGACTCGCTGCCAGTCGCGAGTGTGGAGAGCAGGGACGCACACGGTTAACACGCACACTGGGCACCCTAGGGCCCTTTCCTTCAGCCTGTGCTCACCGCGCATCCCTACCCGCAAGGCCAAGGCTCCAAGTTTCCAAAATCGCAGAGGACAAAATTGCAACTTACCGGAGGGTGGATCCGGCCCGTCTCGCAGGTCGCCGGGGCCGCCGACATCCTCTCTGCGCCGAGACACACTCTCGGGGCTCGCGGGTCGGCGCACCCCGGCCCGCAGCTCCTCGCCGCTGCCCTCTGCCCGCCGCCCGCCCGCCCCGGCCCGCGGGCCCATGTGCTCGGCGGCCGCACGCGCTCTGCCCAGCCGGAGAGCGGGGCTGGCGGGTGGCCCGTGACGTCACGGCTCGCGCTCGGGCTGGGCGGGGGAGGGGAGCGGAGCGGAGCGCGCCGCCCGCCGCGTGCGTCCCGGGCCCCGCGTGCCCTGTGCCACGGTCCCAGGGCGCGCGCCCCTGTGCCCGCCGCGGGGGGCACCGAGCTGGGCCGGCCGCGCCGGAGCGTGGCGGGCCTGGGCCACCGCGGCTTCCGAGGGCCCAGAGGGCGCGGGAGGCAGCGCTACTCACCAGGCTGGGCGGGGACGGGGTCCCACTGAGCTGCCCGCGGAGCTTCCCGCGCCCGCCCGCTACTGGGCTTGGCCTCGACCCGCTTTCCAGACGGGGACGACGAGCGCGGCCGAGGCGGAGAGGCGCACGACCCCCGCCGGGCTGCAACCTCCGCGCCCCGCGCGCCGCCTTGGGTACCACTCCGCACCCGCGGCCGCCCTGCGCAGACTCCCGCTGTCACCAGCACCCCGGGTGCACCGCCGGCGCGGGGGTGCTCGACCCCGTGCGTGACCCCTCCGCGGCCTCCCGCCTGGGTGTTAGCGCGAGGCTGCGCTCGGGCCTCGGTGGCCGGGTACCCTGCTGCTCTGGGCCGGGACCCCCGGGGCCCAGGCACCTGATTGGGGACCCCGGGATCTTTGGAAGGAAAGGAGCCCTTCTTCGCCCGGGACACCGCGTCCCACCCACTCTGACCCACCCACAGGGTCCCGTGTCCCCCCCACCCGCCTTGTCCTTGTTTTCCCTTCCCCGTGGCTTCTTCGCTCCGGAGGGAATCTCTTCCTCGATGGAGGCCCCTGGACGCCTGCAGCTTGTGCTCTGTGCTCACGGAGCCCTGCCAAAGGCCGAACAGGTGTCAGGCCGGTTCTCTGTGGAGGGCGAAGCTGACTAGAAACCGCTGTCCTCAGAGGACGTGGAAAGGATGAGAATTCGGGCCCCTGCAGGTGGAGGCCTCGGAGCCCCCTCCGCGGCCGGGGAAGGGTCCTCCTGCAGCCGACTGGCCTCCCGACCCGTTCCCAAGACTGCAAGCCGGCCTTCGAGAGAAGTACATCGTCCTTGCTTGCCTCCCCCAAGTACTCTCAGCTTTGCCCTTGACTCTGCTAGCCCTTCCTGGGCTTCTAACCTTACAATACTGATCTTAAAGCCGGCTTCGTTTTTCTTTTTAAACTCTTGTTTTGAATTTTAAAAACTCCGTAAAAGTTTACTTAACAAATTATTTTAAAATCCACACCATTCGTAACACACCTATTGGAGTATCTGCTTCCATTTTTAAAAGTCGTTTTTCTACCTGGAGTGGTAGCGTTGACCTGTAATTCCAGCACTTCAGGAGGCTGAAGCAGGAGTGTTGCAAGTTCCAGCCCAGCACTGAGCAAGTTATCAACTTAGCAAGCAAGACCTGACTCAAAATAAAAAAGAAAAGAAAAAATGTTAAGGATTTAAGGCCCTGGCTTCAATCCTCAGTACCCTCCCCCCAAAAATCACTTCTTGAAAAAGTAATGCACAAATGTGTTGTAAAAAGTGAAGAATTAAAATGATAAAATATAAATTATATCAGACACAAGTAACTTTCAAAAAGTTCAATAAATTCTAGACCTCATTTTACACATTTGAGAAATATTGATAGAGATGTATGAGTAGATACAGGTTTCACCAATTAATAAATTATTTTAAAATATTAGTATCTCCTAATTGCTAATTTTAAACTTAGTCTGAGTGTGAGTGCTGTGAAATGAACCCAGGGCCTGCTCTACTAAGCACTTAACTATCTTTTTTTATATTTTTTTATTTATTTTGAGACAGACTTTACAGTGTAGTTCAGGCTGACCTTGAGCTCACTATGTAGCCAAGACTGGTCTCAAACTCACAGTGATCCTCTGCCTCAGCTTCCAGATGCTGGGATGATAGGCATGCACAACTATGCCCAGCTCTTAATGATCTTTTAAAAGAAGAAAATGAATTAGTAAGTTTTAAATATCTCTTTACTACGTGAGAGATACTATTTTCTAAATAATCCTACAAAGGTTCAGAAAACTGATGTCAAAAAAAATGAAAAGGCCGAAGCAATGTGTTTCTGTGTCCACCTCTGTGCAGCACATGAGCCAGATTGTGTGACCTTTTCCCATCACCCTTCGCTTTGTCCTTATTAGTCAGTTGTGCTGTTTTCTTCACATTTCCACTCTCCATCCCAGAAGTGTGATTCCCAAGGTTGTTAATGTAGGGCTCGGGATGGGTCCTTCCTTCAGCGACTTGCTCTTTGAGACTGGCCCCTCTTCATCCAGTTCCCACCCTGCCTTCCCCTTACTGGGCGGAAGCTTCTCTAGAACCAGCTGTCCTGAGGCCCCACTGCCCTCCAGGTGTTCACCAGGTTTACAGCCACCCCTGCTTGGCCACTGATTTGTCTGCCTCTTTGGCTGGGTCAGAGGAGTCCACCCAGGTTGGCAATGTCCACACAGTCCTCCAGAGGACGGTGCCTGGCGCACACGAGGAACCCCCAGGCCAGTTAAAAGAGCAAGGCTCTGAGATTCTAAAAGGAAGAACCCAGCGGAAGCCCTGGAGAGAAGCAGTAAAACTAGACCAAAGTGGTCACCTTGGCAATGCAGGGGAAACAGAGAACAGATGTTGAGCACATCCAGGGGGCGAATTTCCCAGGTAAACCCTGCTGGGGAGAGGGAGGGCAGCAGGACCAAAGGCGACTGTGGGGTTTTGCTTTTGGCCCTTGGCATTCAGTGGTATCAGCCATGTAGATGGGAAACCAGAGGAGAAGGCGCAGCTGTGGCCAGGGAGAGTGGAGTACTCTGGACTGTGGGACGGGGAGGTCAACCAACCAATGTGCAGGGCGGGTAGCGGTCGGAGCCTGAGAAGATCTAGCCAGCCAGTGGGAATGTGGTTGATGCGCTGGGTGGTGACGATCTTGTGTGTAGGGAGGATTTTAAGGGAGAACCCCCAGAACCAAACTGAGGAATGACCATGGGTGGAGCCAAAAGAGGCAGACTTGCTGGTATTCTTGGTAAATCTGTGCAGCTTAGTCCTCCACTTTCTCCCTGACCTCAGTTATCCTGAAAGCAGGCAGGTACAGTAGCCCTCACCTGGAATCCCAGCATTCGGAGGAGGGGGGAGCCTGGGACAGGAGGACCCCAAGTTCTAGCCCACCTGGCAATTTAGCAATTTAGCGAGGTCCTGACTCAAAATATGGGAAGGGAGCTAGGGGCTGGGGGTGTAGCTCAGGATCCAGGCCCTGGGGCCAGTCCCCGGGGGATTAATGGAAGGAGGCCCCCCCTACCCAGTGTCTCCCTGGTGATCCATTCCACAGTCACCCAGCCCACTCTCCTCACACTCACAGTCACTGCTCTGGAGCAGGTTTTCCTCACTTCCTTCTGGAAGTGATGACACAGGGTTTTCCCTCTGTCCCAGCTCAGCCCACTGCGTCTCATGAGCTGCCCCTGCTCCTGGCCTCTGTTAGGGCTCAGCAGGTGCTGTCTTCCATGGCTGCTGTGTACCTGCCTCCAGCAGAGCAACCTCCCTGCTCACGGATGCTGTGGTCAGGCTGCAGCCGCCCTGCCTCACAGCCTCCCTGGGGATCCCTCCACCAGCACTGGCTTCCGGCTTAGCCTCAGAACAGCCCTCCTTAGGAAAGCATTGGCCACTAACTCTCAATCTCGGGACAGACAGGCCAGCTGAGGCCCAGAGAAGTCTCTGGTCTTGGTGAAGGTTATCCACAAGTGGCAGAGTCCGGACTGGATGACCTGTGTCCTCCACCACACAGCAGCTGCCCCAGACATGAGATGAAGCCAGGCCTGGCAAGACAGCCAGCTCATCACAAATCTCCACTTCCTGGACCTGCTGGCCACCGCTCACCTTCCTACGCAGGTGCCAGAAATGTCAGGTTTGACGTCACACAGAACCTAGCTTCAATCCAGTTGTCACTGTTTGACCCTGGGTGACTTCATCAGAGTCTCATAGTTTTCCACTTATTTTACTGTGATAAAATATAAGTAACATAAAATCGAATCATAGTATCTCTTAAGTTCAGCGACTTTATATAAACTCAGGACTGTGAAATGCTTGCTACTGTCTCTCTCCAAAACTCTTTTCATCTTGTAAAACTGAAACTGCACACATCAACCAACACATTCCTCTTCTGCTGCTCCCCCAGCCCCTGGAAACACTGCTTTCCTTTGTGTCTCTGCCCTGACTGCTCTACAGAACCTCATGGAAGTGAAATCACACGGTATTTGTCTTCTCTGTGACTCACTTAACTCAACAGCCCCAGAGTCCATCCATGTGGTAGACTGTGCCATCCTTCCCGTCCTTTTTCAAGCTTGAATAATGTGCCCTTGTATATATTTACAGTATTTTGTTTATGTCTTCACTCATCCATCCATGGACACGTAGGCGGACATGGCCGCCTTCTCGCTATTGTAATCAATGCTGCTCTGGACATTAGCACACAAATACCTCTTCAAGAAACTGCTTTAGGGCAACCCGCTCGGGACCATCTTCTGTCTCTTCAGACAGAAGCTTTCTTTCCCTAAATAAATACATTCTCTTCACCTCTGTTTTCCTAAAATCCCTCAATTTTAGAGAACACAAACTTGCAGACATAGTAAATTGGGCGTTTGGTTCCCCTGTATCAACATACATGCTCAAAGCAGCAAGAATGTTTACCTCCCCTTTTCCCAACAGCAGCCGGGATCCCCTCTTCAGAGGGGGCAATGTGAAACAAAATAGGGAAACAGGAATTAAGATTCTATTAGGCAGTAAAGACAGCAGCCCCAAAATGGAGCCATCTCTAAGACACTTTGTCTTTTGGGGTGTTTTGTTTTGTATCTTTTGGTTTTGTGTGTGTGTGTGTGTTGTTTTTTTTGTTTTGTTTTTTTTTTGTTTTTTTTTGTCTTTTTCATTTTTATCGGTACCAGGGATCAAACTCACGACCGTACACTTGCAAGGCAGGCGCTTATGCCGCTGAGCTAAATCCCCAGCCCCCTGCTTTTGTCTTTTTGAGACAGGTCTCACTAG